CTGTCTCTGTTTTGTCTCTCCTTTTGTCTCTTTCTGTCTTTCTCTGCCTCTGTTTCCGTATCTGAATCTTTTTCTCTTTTTCTCTTTCTCTTTCTTTCTTCTCTCTCTCTTTCTCTCTCTCTCTCTCTTCTCTCTCTCTTCTCTCCTCTCTCTCTCTTTCTCTCTCTCTCTCTCTCTCTTCTCTCTCTCTCTCTCTCTCTCTCTCTCTCTCCTCTCTCTCTCTCTTCATCTATCTGCCCTCATCTTCTCTCTCTCTCTCACTCCTCTCCTCTCCTCCCTCTCTTTCCTCTTCTCTCCCTTCCCTCCCTGCACATGGCCTCTTCACCTGACCTCTCTCTCCCTCCGACCTGTCCCGACCACCTTCACGAGGAAGACGAGATTAAAGCAGGTCGGGGCGGGTTTGATTGACACACCCGCGCCTTCACCCGGGGGCGTTATGGAAGGGGACGAGGAGGAGGAGGAGGAGAAGGGGAGGGTGAAGAAGAGGAGGAGGCGATGGAGGAGAAAAGAGGGAGGGTGAAAGAGGAGGAGGAGGAGGCGAAGGGGGGGGTAAAGAGGGAGGGTGAAGACGAGGAGGAGATGGTGGACGGAGAGGAGGAGAAGGGGGAGGAAAAGAGGGAGGGGTGAAGAGAGGAGATGGTGGACGGAGAGGGAGGAGGAGGCGATGGGGAAGGAAAAGAGGGAGGGTGAAGACGAGGAGAAATGGTGGACGGAGAGGAGGAGGCGATAGGGGAGGAAAAGAGGGAGGGTGAAGACGAGGAGATGGAGGAGGAGGAGGATAAACGAGAGGAGGAGGGGGAGGACAAGGAGGAGAAGGTGAGGACGAGGAAAAGGAAATGAGGAAGAGGTGCAGGAGGGAGAAGAGGAAACGAAGAAGTAGAAAAAAATAAAAGAAAAGAAGGAGAGACAGACAGAAAATGAGAAAGAAACAGGAGAAAGACGAAGGTGTAGTTAGGAAATTGAGGAGGCAATTGAGGAAAAAGGAGGAGTGAGTAGAAGTGATGGGTAGGAAAGGAGGGAAGAAGGGAGGGATAATGAATGGGAAGAGGGGATGGGAAGGAGGAAGAAGGGAAGAAGGGGTGGGGAGGGAGGGGGAAGCAGGGGGGAGACACATACGTTCGAGAAGGATACAGATTGTATGATTGAAATTATGCAAAGCTGATGAAGATTTCGGGATCAGTGGATTAAGAAGCGCGTCCTTGGAAGGGGGTGGGGGTGGGGGTGGGGGATTCGAAGAAGAAGGAAGAAGAAAAAATAGGAAAGAGACGCGAAGAAGAGAGGAGCAGGATGAACCGAAGAACGGAGGAAGGCTTTGATACAAGCAGGAAGAAGAGAGATAAAGAATGATATGCAACGAAGAAGGGGATAAGAACAACAGAAGAATGAGGTAATCCTGATAAATGTACAAGGAAGCTACAAGAAAGCTGCTTGCCAACCACCCTACGTACGCACTTCCCGCCCAGGTATTGATTGCGCGTGAAGTAAAAAAAGCTTTTCGATCGAGCGAATTGATCCTTAATATACTTTAATGAGTTAATACATCGCTAACTGATGAGCGATATGAAAAGAGAACTTAACCCTAAAGGCGGTTATCGTGGGGCGCCATTTCGTAGCTTCTAATCCGAACAAATGGCCGATATTACCTGTTGTTACGTAACGATTCTCGCGTCGTAATTGTATGGCCGGTGTTTGTTCCTGAAGGTGGCTGTTAGTGGGTGTTTAAGCTGTTTCTGGGGAAAGCTTGGGAAGAAAATTGGTTGGGTTGGGAATTCGTGTTTGATTGGATACTTTTCTTCTTCTTCTTGTTCTTTTTTTTCTTTTCTTTTTATTTTTTTATTTATATATTTTTATTTATTTTATTTTATTATTATTTATTTAATTTATTTATTTTATTATTATTTATTTATTTATTTTAAATTTTTATTTTTTTTATTGTTCTTTTGTTCTCGTTTGCTGACCCTCGGGATCTTTACCACTTTCCTCCTCCCCTTTTTCCCTTCCTCCCTCCTTCTTCCTTCCCTCCTCTCCTCCCTCTTCCTATAGTACCGACCCACCTATGTTTGCACCTCCTATTATCCTCCCCTCTCTCTCCCCCTTATCCCTCCCTCTCGATCTCCCCGGCTCTGTTCTCCGACCATTATTTCCCCTTCGCCTACCGCTCCTCTCCCCTCTTCGCATGTGCTTGTGCGGTTTTATCCTCCTCTTTGGCTTCTTCTTGCTCTCTCTCTCTCCTCTCTTTCTCTTCTGTGTGTCTCTCTCTGCCTCTCTCATTCAATCTCTCTCTCTCTCCTCTCTCTCTCGTCGTCTCATCTCTCTCTCTCTCTCTCTCTCTTCTCCTCTCTCCTCTCTCTCTCTCTCATCTCTCTTCTCTCTCTCCTCATTCTCTCTCATCATTCTCTCTCTCTCCTCTCGTCTCTCTCTCTCTCTCTCTCTTCTCTCTTCTCTCTCTCATCTCTCTCTCATTCCTCTCTCTCTCTCTCTCTCTCTCTGCTCCTCTGCTCGTCTCTCTCTCTCTCTCTCTCTCTCTCCTCTCTTCTCCTCTCT